AACCCTCAACATGGGGTGTCCTAGTTTTTACTTCTTCAAATATGGCAACCCTGCCAGGAGACTGCCCTTTTCCAGATGCTTTAGCAACATACCCGCCTCAAAACTTCCTTCCCCCGCTTTATTCAAATCAGTGGATGCCAAAGCAGTTCAGAACAATCAAAACTGCAATCATGCAACATTCCAATAAAACATTAAATTAACACCAGCCAGAAACGGAAGGTGCTGGAATTCAGGATTACTGTCTGGAGAACTTCGGCAATGTGCGCGCGCGCTTTTTTAATAGTGTGTTTGAGAAAAAGGAAAGCTAATTTTCTAAGACTTCTGTTGCTTTCTGCTAGCTTGGCCCATACTGAGACCCCGAGATAACAACAGTGGGCTGATTCCACGCCTTGAAAAGACCAGGCAGGAGGGCTGTGCTGGCGGGGGCTGATGGGAGTTGTAGTTTAAAATGCATGCAGGTCGGTCGGAGTGAAACAATATAAACTGAAAGCATTTGCAGACGACTTGGTTTTAACATTACAGGAGCCAGTATCTAGTACAAAAAGAGTTTTAGAACTGATTCATGAATTTGGTCGGGTGGCGGGATTCAAGCTGAACAAGCAAAAGACCAAGGTTTTGGCTAAAAACTTGACACCTACAGAAACAGAGGGGTTCCAGAAAGAAACAGAACTAAGTGTTGTTAAAAAAGTGAAATACCTAGGGGTTCATTTGACTGTTAAAAATTTGAATCTGTTTAAAGACAATTATGAAAAATGTTGGTCGGAAATTAAGAAGGATTTGGAAATTTGGTCAAGATTGAAACTTTCCTTGTTGGGCAGAATTGCAGCTATAAAGATGAATGTATTGCCGAAAATGTTATTTTTGTTTCAGGCCCTACAGATCGTGGACAGAGTGGAATGTTTTGGAAAGTGGCAGAAGGATATATCTAAGTTTGTCTGGCAGGGCAAAAAGCCCCAAATAAAGTTTAAAATACTAACTGACTCAAAAGAAAGAGGGGGGTTTGCCCTGCCGGACCTGAGGTTGTACTATGAATCTGCAGCCTTCTGCTGGTTGAAGGATTGGTTCTTGTTGGAGAACACTGATGTCCTGGATCTGGAAGGGTTTGATAATGCTTTTGGTTGGCATGCATATTTGTGGTACGACAAGGTTAAAGTTCATAAACTATTTAAAAACCATATTGTCAGAAGAGCAATCTTTGCGGTCTGGTTGAAATATAAAGACTTATTGGAGGGTAAGACACCGAGGTGGTTATCACCGGTAGAGGCCAAGGCTAGGAAAAGACTCAATATGGAGGCCTACTGGCCGAAATATTGGGAAATAACTGAAAAAATTGGAGACAATTGGAGGCTGCAGAGCCAGGAGAAATTAAAAAATAAGGTGCGAGACTGGTTACATTATGCTCAAATTCAAGAGGTGTTTAAAATAGATAAAAAAGTTGGTTTCCAGGTGGAAAAATCGAAATTGGAGACAGAATTGTTAGAACCAAAGACTAAGACACTATCGAGAATGTATAACTTGCTGCTCAAGTGGAATACACAGGATGAGACAGTTAAATCTGCCATGATAAAATGGGCACAGGATGTTGGACATAACATTATGTTTGAAGACTGGGAAAGGTTATGGAACACCGGAATGAAATTCACGGCATGTACTGCCTTGAAGGAAAATATTATGAAAATGATATACCGGTGGTACATGACCCCAGTCAAGTTAGCTAAGATATATCACCTGTCTGACAATAAATGTTGGAAATGTAAGGAGGCAGAAGGGACATTTTTTCACCTCTGGTGGACCTGCCCAAAAGTGAAGGCCTTCTGGGAAATGATTTATAATGAATTGAAAAAGGTATTTAGATATACCTTCCCTAAGAAACCAGAGGCCTTCCTGCTGGGCATGGTAGACCAGAAAGTGTCAAAGAAGGACAGAACCTTGTTTATGTATGCTAGTACAGCAGCAAGAATACTCATCGCAAAGCATTGGAAGACACAAGATTTACCCACGCTGGAGGAATGGCAGACGCAGTTGATGGACTACATGGAATTAGCTGAAATGACTGGCAGAATCCGAGATTTGGACGAAGAAACAATCGAGGAGGACTGGAAAAAATTTAAAGATTACTTGCAAAAATATTATAAGTTGTATGAATCTTAAGATAGTGCACGATTAGGAAATGCTATGCTTCTGCAATATGTTTAAGTAAACGGTAAAATAAGTGATAAAGGAGAAAAGGAGACAATGTGAATCAAACATATTATGTTTATTTTAAAGGTATTATAACTGAGTTACAATATATTGAATTTGGAGACATAATAACTGAAAGTTACAATAAGGTGTGAAAGAAGGTAACAATTTGCTGACATTGTTAATATAAAGAACGCAGATCTGGAAGGTGTGGGGAAGTCCAATAGGAATTTATGGAAAGTGGAACTATTACATACTTATAGTTTTTTTTTCTGGTAATGTTTTTTGTTAAAAGAAAAAAAATCTGTTTCTTGTATTGTCTTTTTCTGTACCTCTTGGAATGTATAAAACTATGAAAAGAAACGCAATAAAAAATATTATAAAAAAAATAAAATGCATGCAGGTCGGCCAAGGCGGTTGCAGCAGCCTGTCAAGGGTTGGGAGGCTGCAAGAGGCTGGCAACCACTTCCTTAACTTCATGCTGACCGGAGGTCATTCTCCTATGCCCTGCTTGGCAACGTCCTCTCCCTTGTCCCTTTCTGCTTTCTTGGTTGCTTAAAACATATCAAGGACTCGCGAAACCTTGGCTTCGCTGCCGCCTGAAGCGTTTCGCCTTTGCAGTCCTCCGGAATTAAGATTGCCAGACGAAATATCAACAGCCTCAGATATTCAGATGACACAACGTTGATGGCAGAAAGTGAGGAGGAATTAAAGTACCTTTTATTGAGGGTGAAAGAGGAGAGCGCAAAATATGGTCTGAAGCTCAACATCAAAAAAACGAAGATCATGGCCACTGGGCCCATCACCTCCTGGCAAATAGAAGGGGAAGAAATGGAGGCAGTGAGAGATTTTACCTTCTTGTCACTGCAGATGGTGACAGCAGTCATGAAATTAAAAGACGCCTGCTTCTTGGGAGAAAAACAATGACAAACCTAGACAGCATCTTAAAAAGCAGAGACATCACCTTGCCAACAAAGGTCCGTATAGTTAAAGCTATGGTTTTCCCTGTACAGTGGTACCTCGGGTTACATACACTTCAGGTTACATATGCTTCAGGTTACACACTCCGCTAACCCAGAAATAGTGCTTCAGGTTAAGAACTTTGCTTCAGGATAAGAACAGAAATTGGGCTCCAGCGGTGTGGCAGCAGCAGGAGGCCCCATTAGCTAAAGTGGTGCTTCAGGTTAAGAACAGTTTGAGGTTAAGAACGAACCTCCAGAACGAATTAAGTACTTAACCCGAGGTACCACTGTAGTGATGTATGGAAGTGAGAGCTGGACCATAAAGAAGGCTGATCGCCAAAGAATTGATGCTTTTGAATTATGGTGCTGGAAGAGACTCTTGAGAGTCCCATGGACTGCAAGAAGATCAAACCTATCCATTCTTAAGGAATTCAGCCCTGAGTGCTCACTGGAAGGGCAGATTGTGAAGCTGAGGCTCCAATACTTTGGCCACCTCATGAGAAGAGAAGACTCCCTGGAAAAGACCCTGATGTTGGGAAAGATGGAGGGCACAAGGAGAAGGGGACGACAGAGGATGAAATGGTTGGATAGTGTTCTCGAAGCCATAGGCGCCGACTCCATGGGGCTTGAGGGGGCCCGAGCCCCCTCAAAAATTCGTTTGGGGGGGCTCCGCCCCCCCAATAATCTCCGGCGCCCCTCCAGCAGAGCGCCATCGCCGCCCCTCCCCCAGCCCAAAATGCACAGGGAGGGGCGGGCTGCATGCCTCCTGCCCTCCCTCCCGAGCAAAAGCTCCACCCAATTTCCTTTGGAGCTGATTAATAGGCGCAGCACGCTCTCCCCTATTCGCTCACGAGGAGGCGGCGCCACTTTATTTGCATATTCATGAGCTTATTTATTATTCATGAGCTTTCCCGCCCCCCCCCCCCCCCCCCAATATTTTTTATAAGTCCGCGTCCCTGCTCGAAGCTACAAACATGAGTCTGACCAAACTGCGGGAGGCAGTGGAAGACAGGAGTGCCTGGAGAGCTCTGGTCCATGGGGTCACGAAGAGTCGGACACGACTAAACAACTTCGTGAGTCGGGTGCTGTTTGATTTCTGACTGAAGGGCTTCCTTCTAGTCCTGTGAAATTGCTGCATGCGGCAATGTGATGCCCTCTGGTGGCTATAAAGTAGCATGCATATGTTTTTAAAAGCCCATTCTGCATGTTCTTTGTTTATGTTTCGCACAACTTTAGCACCGACACGTTAGTGGCACCGCCAATATTACACTTCCAGCTTGACCCGACCTTGGCGTTGCTGTCAAGGAAGATCCTAGCATAATAAGCAAGAGTGGCTATGGATGTAAGAGCCCTTGGGAGATCCTTATAAATTAGCACGATCATCAAGAAAACTTGTTGTATGTCCTTGTCCTGCACTTTTTTTTTGCCTTTTGCGACGAGCCCTGATCCGGCTCTTGCAAACGCTCGGGTGGAGGGCAGAGTGAGAAATATACCATTTCTCAGTAAAAATACGATTCTTTGGGACAAAGGATCTGGGGCGCGGGGGAGCAATGCAGATACTGGGAGAGATGTGGATGTTGACTATTGAACCCATTTCACAGAGTTAAAGGAAAGATAGGGTCATGAAAGGCTTTGAAACATCCAAGGAAGAAGATTTAATCATAAAGGTCTGAGACGGTGAATCAAGTCTTCCGTGTCTGACTCTTCTATACGTGGCTTCTAAGACCTCAAGAGAAAAAGCAGAGCAGTTAGGGGGGGTAGGAATGGGGGAATAAAAAAGTGGAACCTCCGCTCTGTAATGTGAGGCGGGTTGGAAAACGTGGATTGTTAAAGAGCCATCCCTGGGCTTGCTACTCCAGAAGCGATCTTGCGCTCCGGGTTTTGCATTACGAAATTGCTCTAAACCAATAATAGTCAGAGCTCCGCAGAGAAAGAGGGAGGACAAAACAAAACAGTCGCCTTAAAATCAACACGTTAATTAAAGCAGGGGTAACGGGGTACGCCGAAATGGATGAAGAGGTTAGAGATCCCGCGTTGGAACAAGGTAAGGTTAGAGAGAAAATCTGTCCCCTGGCTTTCAGAGCAGGCCTGCTCTCCCCGAGTTCAAAACCATCTTCCGCAAGCTCCGTTTATAGGGAGATCCCCCCCACTCCACCCCACCCTGGGGACTAGGCAGGCAGCCTGAGTTCTGGGGCTTTAAAAAGATCTCCATCTCCTCCCGAGAGCTTTCTGACTCTGGAGACTCAGTTCAGTTGGCCATTAATCCAACTTGCTGTTACTCCAGTCAGCTTGATTGCTCTATGTATAAAAAGGGGGGAAACATCCGAATGTGGTTTCCATTCCAGCTTCCAGAAGAGGGTGCCGCTATTGATTAAAGAGGCGAAGATCTGCTGTTTTAATGGCAGTAAAAGCTAAGTGAAGTTTGCAACTTTTGTCCCTTGTTTTAGCAGAGCAGGGTACCTAGTGGCCTAAGACGAGACTGCAGCACACATCTATCCATGGAAGAAGGCAGATCCATCAAAATCCAGGCTTTGGGTAAGACTCTCTCTGCTCTCTCAAACAGTATAGATGAGCTGGAATATTGACTAAAATTATATTCCGGGTGTCACTGGGACTTTAAAATATCACTTTTTGGTGCAATCAGGAAACCTGTCTGTCTCTATGCTCCTCAGGGGACCCTTATGGCAATGAAGCTGAACGAGCGCTGCGTGGCACATTATGCCACTTGCGACTCTCCGGCAGACCACACGGGCTTTCTGTGCAAGCGTGTGGAGCGCCGCCACCACCACCACCACACCAGTTCCTACCACCGCTGCTGGTTCATCCTCAAAGGCAACTTGCTTTTCTACTTCGAGGAGCAGCAGAGCCGTGAACCCCTGGGTCTCATTGTGCTGGAGGGCTGCACGGTGGAGCTGTGCGAGGCCGCTGAGGAGTTTGCCTTTGCTATCCGCTTCGATGGCAGCGGTGGCAAGGCCTATGTGTTGGTTGCTGATTGCCAGGCTGCGATGGAGGTTTGGGTGAAGGCCCTTTCCAGGGCAAGCTTTGATTACATGAGGCTCGTGGTTAAAGAACTAGAGAAGCAGCTGGAGGAAGCGCGGAAGAGCTTGGTCACCTGTCACAAATCTCCAAAGAGACCTTCCTCTGGCTGGAAGCGACATCTTTCCAGTTCCACATCAGTACCCCTCCAGGAGCACCCTGTCATCTCAGAAAATGGGTACTCCACATGGGTCAACGGTTGCACTGTTGCAGGAGCTGTTTTGGACCATGATGTGGGGTATCTGAAACCCCCGCCTTTACCCCCTCGCCGAAGACCAGCTTGCAGCAGTGCAGGTGGAATGCCTGCTCCAGGCCTTGGTTCTGCTGTGCAGGAAAGCCCGGTGTCTCCAGAGACAGCCTGTTTCTCAAAGTTGCACGATTGGTACGGTCAGGAGATAGCAGAGGCGAGGATGGAATGGATGCAAAGCCAGAATGTATTGTGAACGTACTGAGAAAAGTATTTTGGGATGTGGGGAAGAGGGACGGAAGGAAAGAGAAAAATAGATGCAAAACAAGTTTTCACAGACCTCTTGGTGCATTGTGGATTTGCTCTTGGCCAACAAAATTGCCAAAGAACCTATATTGCTTTCTGGAATAGTGGATTGCAAATATGTGTATGTTCTAGGTTACTCTCAAAATATAGTCTCCCCATGGGGATCTTGAAATGCCCAGAATATCTCTGAAAATTACCCATGCACCATCTGTATCTCAAGCAGTGTTAGCAAAAGGCTTTGGCATAGTTATTTCACTACTTCTTTCGCACTGTGCTGTAAAGCTCAAGTTGGCACTCTCATGTTTCAAGTGGCTTCTTAACACATGAGAGGAATCTGAATTTCTGTTGAGCCATACAATTCAGTTAATGACATTCAATCTATATATTCCAGTTGCTTTGAGCCTTGTGTTAGACTAATAATACTAATCATTTATACAGCACATTTCAAATATCCAATAATCTTTACATACATTACATAAAGGTTACTGACAACAATCTGAAAAGGTGGGCTAGTATATTTATCGCCATATGGAGAGCAAAGCAAATTGCCTAAGACCACCTCTTGCCGAGGTGAAATTTGATCCAGTAGTTTCACACTATTAGTCACAGTGTTGCCCTAGAATAGACATTATAAAATGCTTCCAAGATCCATAACTAAGGAATCCCCCACTTTTGGGGCTTTTGCTACATTTTAAGTCAGTATTTGAAGATAACCTCTTCAAGAGGCAACATGACCTAGATCTGAGTAAGTGAACCAACAAATTAGGGACAGTTGCTCCCACATACTAACATCATAATGTGTGACCATTTAATTACACGGAATGCCAGCAGTGGGCAGAGCAGATGTTAGCATTGTACTGTAGTCTAGTTTCTACATGCACTTGCACCTATCTTTCTATCCTCCAACTAGACAAGCAAGAAGCATTATTGGAGTTCAAGAACCTGCTCTAGCCAGGCAAACACAATCAGGGTGCAAAGCAGAGCCAGGGAGGAGTGTGGTTTGGGGAATGTTCTAAGGCCCTATGGAGAAACCTGGAGAGCCACATTTGTCCCTTGGCCCTGTTGTTCTGACCTATACAATAGTCTCCAAAGGAAGCCGCTAATGTGTACAGTACATAGCCCGACTAGGGTGAAGAACAGTATAAACCTAGACTTTTCAGCCATCTCAACTGCAATCACTGAGTTGTGAGTTTTGTAGTCATAAGTCCATGAACTTCAATTTAAATGATGCCAATAGGCACTGGATTCCTGTTCTATGGTGTCCAGTATACACTGCCTTTATATCATATTGCTGCATTCTGATTTTTGGGATCAGGTTTGTTCTTTAGCATTCTTGCACATTAGTGACTTTAACTATAACTAATTGGCCAACCAAACCATTGTTTACAAAGTCATCCTGGCCTCAGACCAGTGCTGGTAATAACCAGTTGCAACGTTCAAATGGAATGACTATCCCTGCTGGGAGGGAAGAACCACCATGACCGTTTTTAATATGATAAAATCAAGTTACCATGGCAAATAATATGTCACTTCCAACAGTGAAAATGGTTAATGTTTTGAAGGAAGATAGTAATATATCCACTCCAAAGAAAAAAATTCTGATCTGCAATAATGTTAGCAGCAGCCAGAATATGCCTGCTAAGGTCGTACAACAAATGGAAGCTAATAACTTCATGGTGCTCTACATACACCCTTGAATTACACTTTTTGTATGTTTGCATGGGTTATGTTTTACACTTAAAACAAGAATATACACTACTGTTTCATAGTTATTTGTAGTACAAATTTATTCTTGAATAAACTTTTTAATATATATATTGTAGTGTTTGGCTGCAAAGTGATGAGAATGTGTCTTGAGTTCCCTCCCTGGGAGTTCTAACATAATTAGTGTCCTGCAGGATCAGACCAAGTATTTACCTAGTCTACTTTCCAATGTCCCACAGATGCCAACCAGATACCCAGTCTGGCAAGCCCTCTGCTGTTCTGTAGCCACAGCCCCCTCTACACTCGTAGGTAACAAACTTAATTTATTTACAGATTTATATACTCTCTTCACTAAAATGGTCACAGGGTTGTTTACAAAAATAAAGGTAATGTAAAAACATGATGCACAATAAACAGAAATATTAGGACAACACACACACACACACACACACACACACATTTAACATCACAGAAATGTGATAAGCCCTTTAAAAGGAATATAAAGAATAAAGCGGCACTTCATTGACAGGGGACCTCTCTGAATATTGGCAAAGCAAATAAACAAAGTTACAGGTAACTGGATTAGAGTTGGCAAAAGTAGGAACTACTCCTGTTTGGGGTCAAGCTAAAACATAAGATTCCTCTGTTGGGTTTTCTGAGCACTTTCGCCCTGAGGGACTTTTCAAATAGGAACCAAGAAACGACCCATCCGAGGCGATGAGAGCAATCCATATTTTTCGAATCTCTGAGGCATCACTCCTGCCACGCGCGCCCTGGAGGTATTTTATTCCTTCATCCTCATATCGCGAGATTTGAGAAAGCACCTCCCATCCTTCCGACACTTCGGACGCGTCGCTATAGCGGTAGCGCTACAGAGAAGATGGCTGGGCGCCTGTGGGCAGCGGCAGGGTGCTGGGCGAGGCCCGTCGGGAGCCAGAGGGGCCCCTCGGTGACCGCTGCCCCCTCGCGAAATGTCACCGTCACCCGGACTGGCGCCATCTTGCCCAAGCCCGTCAAAGTGAGTGCGCGGAGGGGAGCCTCGGGTCGCGGAGGGGAAACGAGCTGGGAGTGAAGCCAGCCAATCGCTAATCGGGATGGGCTGCCGGGCTTGGAGGACGTTGTGTCAGCCAATGGCTTGAAAGGATTGTTGGCTTGGCAGATGGTTTGCCCAATGGATAAGGCGGCAGGGGCGGGCTTTAGAACGGAAGCACCACTAGGAAATAATCCCGTAAGGATCAGTAAGACAAGAGCCATAGGGGGATAGTGAGCGCTTCCTCCCCTCTCCTGCCTGTGGGCTACGGGGGGGGGGGGTCATTTATAAAAAGAAAAGGGTATATTTGTGTGTTTCCTTTTCCTCCTCCAGCTCGGTTAAAGCCGGAAAGGGGAGACCTTTCCCGAAGATCCTGCCTTCCTGCCGCTTTTGTTCCTTGTAGCAGGTGACAGGAAATGTTAGTAATGCGGATGACTGATACCTGGCCGACTGCTTTCATGTCAAGTTGCATTTGACAAGTATGAAGTGGGATGGACCAGCCACTCTTTGTCAGGTGTCTGGAATGTAGCCTTTCAGAGCCCTTTCCCTGCCCCCTCCGCTCAGCTTCCAGGAGAAACGTTTTAAGGGAAGCCCCACATTTGGTTTTCAGAAGTTCCACAAAGCACTTGTCTAGAAAATAGGGGCTGCAAGGAGGAGCAGATGAGAGAGTGGGTCCAAAAACGGGAGGCAAAGGTAATTGCCAGGAACCCGAGAAAAAGGGGGAGGTGAGCTAATGTGACCCATAGAATAAAGGATTTTCGCTGCTGTGTTCAAAATGAATTTCAGGTGCTTATAAAATAAGTTGGTAATCACTGCTGCAGTACATTGAGTAATGCTGTTATACAGTACTGCACTTATGTTTTCCATTATTTGAGTTTCATGCTTTGAATTGAGAGCAAAACTGTTTTGCTGGATCATTTACTGCAGTAGGTTCCTCCGCCCATGAGGAAAACACTTTGGAGTATCTGATAATATGCAAACTTTTCGTTTTCCTATTTATGTATTTAGGATATAAAATGTGTTGCTGGCTTAATACTAATATTCAGTTTTGTTCTTTTTTTTTACTTAGTCTTTCCATATATTTGAAGACATTTTTACAAATATTTTTCTATGTGGGTTTAAACGTGAATTAGTAGAACAGTAAGAATATGTGCTATTATTTATGGGTGCAAGCATTTGAAGGGTAATGGCATTTCTTTAAATCTTTCCATCAGCTCTAGACTTATGTACGTTGGCAGCTTTGTAGAGATTTGTTGATGACCAACTTTTTCTGCAGGACTTGCATGGAAAGAGATATTAAACTGGTTCTCAATTAATCTCTGCAGATGCCCTTTGGTCTCCTTCGTGTGTTTGCCATTGTAATTCCCTTCCTCTATGTTGGGACACAAATCAGCAAAAACTTTGCAGCCTTGCTAGAGGAACATGATATTTTTGTACCAGAAGATGACGACGACGATGATTAATAGGTATGGCTATAGATAAAAGCAGAAACTTGATCTGAAGTTGCCCCCTTCATTTGATGTAGGATGAGTGAAACCATAATAAAACACTTGGAGACAATCCTTCATTGGTAAACCCGTTAGGTCAAAACAGATACCCAGAAACTCCAGCTATACTTAAATTCTCATGAAAACTGGTACTAACATGTGGAGTATGAGTGTACAAGATAGGCAAGAAATGAATCTGGTTGCATCTCAACCTCTCATACACTGTCCTACAGGTGGGGAACGTCAGACCTGAGTGCTGAATGTACCTTTTTCCAGGACAATCCCCTCACCAGCCCTGCTCCTCATCCTTGTGCTTTTGCCTGGCTGGAATGTGTCCTTGAACTGTTAGAATGTCTGTTTAGTGAATGAAAGATGGGAAGTATGGGTGTGTATGTGTAGAAACCTCTTGATTTTTGCCTGGCTGGAATGCAGTCAGCTGCATAAAGAGTTGCATCCAATGCCCCATCCAGCACTGGCATGCACCCCCAAAAGCTCTTGCAAGGGAATGTGGCCTTAAGACTGAAACAGTTTCCCCACCCTGCATGTCCCTACAATGTTTGCAGTGACAGCCACTGAGAAGCTCATCTTTTTTTATTGGAGTAGTTGCAGCAGCCTTTGAAATCTCTTCTCCCCCTTATCATAGCACATATATACCCTAGATCACAATTCTTGTCCTAAAAGCACTGTTTCCTACCTTTCCTTTCCCATTCTTTTATTCCTAGTTTTATTCCTATATAATAAACTAAGCATATGCAAACAGTTCTGCTTATAATTTAGTTACTATTTTGTCTTACTTTTTGTGAGTATAATTTTGAAAGAATTACAGCTGACTAGACAATAAATTCATTAGGCCATGACCAAAATGTTTACACTGATTTGGCAATATCACTGTTCTATATGGTAAATACACTTGCCAATGTCACAGTGAACTTGTTTTAATAAGCTGTGTGTTGTATAGAAAGCAGCAAACAGTATGTTTATAATATGCACAATACTGGTGTTCTTTGCCATTCTCTAATTTTTGCAAAGCTAGTATCCTACGGGTTGAACATGGGGCCAATTCTGCAGTGTGAAATAACATATTCTTGTTTCTTTACAGGGTTAAAATAGGAGAAAACAAGAGCGAAAGCCATAGACAACTATTCTGATGTCAATGTCTAGTCATGGCCCCCCTTTTCAGTTTTTAAAGAAGACATTTTGGGAGAGTTGGACCCCCATTCTACCAGTAAATGCTCTGTGCATGTGTAAATGAGGATTGGCTACATACATAGGCAGAATATTTCCTTGGTTCAGCAATCATTGTATGTAACACCTAGTTCATGAGAGTGCTTGGAACCCTGTTCTAATGAGTGTGAAGAAATGATTTAGATTGCAAATAAAGAGTAACAGACCAAGGCTTACATCTCTTCTTTAAATTGTCCTAGGTTGCACGCAGGGATCCAAGTGTGATTAAGTATTATTGCACCATACCTTTGCTGAAAAGCATTAATAATTTCAATTCTCTTTCACCCCTTTACATCTTCTTCTTCTTCTTCTTTTTGAGAAACTGCAAATTCTAACAGAAAAAGTAACTTTATTTAACTCGGCTAGACTGACTTGCTCCAAAAAAAGAAGCAGCAGCACAAATACTTCTTTTTTGAATCTTGATATCTAATAGTGAGCAGAAGCCCTTTGATATCAGGCACTGTTTTATTTTGGTGTACAGTAAATGATTATGCCATAACTTTTCGAACTTGACGTGTTACAGTATTGACTCATAAGTGGTATCTTGAGTTCATGTTACCTACCAAAGTCTAGAGATGCATGCAAGTCTAAGTTCTGATAAAATTAACTTAATATTTGGCAAAGAGGAATTGCTTCCTGTATCATCAATTTACCTAAACATTATTTTTATTTGTACCACATGTTTTTCCTATGCTCTGAAGGTCAATGGGATTAGAGTCTGTGGATTCAAAAATGGATTGTCACTTTTCAGTACACATGCCTCATTCATCCCTGGCTTATGCCATGTTTGCTATTAAAAAAAGGATGACTGCTAGTCCTGCTATGAAATAATTGTACACATGATCCTACTTGCATAATCTTGTATTGAACAATGAATATTGTTCAGAGCAATTGGGGACATTACTACCCTCTTACTTCAGGTAAGCAGGATTTTCTTGTGGGAGCTTTTGAAGAAGGAAGAATCCTTCCTGCAGCATGCAGTTCTACCACAGGAGGGCTCCCTTGCATAGTGGGAAGGAATACAGTACAGTGGTACCTCGGGTTAAGTACTTAATTCGTTCTGGAGGTCCGTACTTAACCTGAAACTGTTCTTAACCTGAAGCACCACTTTAGCTAATGAGGCCTCCTGCTGCTGCCATAGCACGATTTCTGTTCTCATCCTGAAGCAAAGTTCTTAACCTGAAGCACTATTTCTGGGTTAGCGGAGTCTGTAACCTGAAGCGTATGTGTCAGGGGCTCAGGAGCAGAGGCACAGGGGAGAGAGGAAATGGAGAGCGAAGGGGAAGAATCTGAGGGCAGCGTAGGGGAGTATGAAAGTGGCCCGAGAGATTCCATGAGTCTCTCCAGCGAATCAGAAGATTCCCAGAGGGGGGTGCCGATGGCCAGGGCAAGGGGGGTCCCAGGGGGGACACACCAGAAGCAAGGGGCCAGCGGGGACTCCCAAAGCAGCAGCGGGAGAGCAGGACCAGCTCCTCCACCAGAGCGTAATGAGGGGGAAGAGTCACATGTATCAGGGCCAGCTTCTCCTCCAGCAGGGAGAGAGGATGAGTCAGGGGTGGCCACGCCTCCATCGCAGAGTGAGGGAACGGAGGGAGAGTCAGGTGCAGCTAGCCTCCCCGAAGGGGGAAGCAGTGACAGGAGCAGTGTAACGGTCAGGAGGAAGGTGGCAGGCTGGGCGCGCGCGCCAAGTTCGAATGTACAGGCGCGCAGCACAGCAGGAAACCCGGATTGGGAACCAGGTCCTAAAGCCCGCCGGAGGGAGGGGGAGGACTCAGGAGACTCAGCGTCAGAAGAGTCTAGGAGAGGCGAGACCCCAGCGGACAGGCGGGCCCAGAGGAGAAGAGAGCAGAGGAAGAGGTGGAGCAAGGCTAGAGTGTTAAACTGGTGTCTGGGGGGAGGAGATTCAGACGGAGCTTCGGCAGTCTAGAGTTTGAGATGTAGAGCTGTGCGCCGCGGCTGTGAAAGCGAAACTGAGCTTCAATAAAGACTGTTTTATATAACAACGAACTGGCGTTGGTCCTTTGTGAGCTGGGACCTAGGGCAGCTCTGACAGTATGCAACCCGAGGTACCACTGTATTAAATAACCATGAAAGTTGGGTTAAGGAGCATTAAACTACTTGCATAATAGGTGTCATTTTTTTACACTTGTACAGTGGTGCCTCGCAAGACGAAATTAATCCGTTCCGCGAGTCTCTTCGTCTTGCGGTTTTTTCGTCTTGCGAAGCACGGCTATTAATGGCTTAGCGGCTATTAACGGCTTAACGGCTTTAAGAAAAAGGAAACAAACTCGCAAGAACTCGCAAGACGTTTCGTCTTGCGAAGCAAGCCCATAGGGAAATTTGTCTTGCGGAACGACTCAAAAAACGGAGAACCCTTTCGTCTTGCGCGTTTTTCGTCTTGCGAGGCATTCGTCTTGCGAGGTACCACTGTATTTGGGATGGTTGGAATAGGGCTCAGCTTTCATAGACGGAATGGGGGGGAGGAAGCCCCAAAATAACTCTCCTGGCAAGCAAAGGAAATTATTGGAAGCCTTAGGCTACAAACTCATAAGTGTAATCAAGGTGGCTTAATGGCTAGCTGCTTTCTGGTTGCTGAATTAAAGAAATGTTACTGCAAGGCAGGCAGAAGACTCAATAGGCTGAGAAATCATTCCTCAGGAAAGCGTCAGTGTGGTGATAGTATTTCAAGGGCAGTAACAGAAATTAGGCTAAACTATCTGCACAAAGAAAGCAGGCAGGATAAAAGTGAGCTATTTATTTGCTGCCAGATTATTCTCAAGATTGCTCAGGTTTGGCTTACAAGTCTTTCCAAGGGCAGGGGGACCCAGGCTGTAGAGTTAACAGTTGGATTGCTAAAACTACTCACCAGTTAGTGCTGTTTTACTTAATGGTATTAAAGTAAATGTATTACATACTCATGGTATGGCAAGACACCCAGTACCAATGGGTTCCAGATTTTCTGGGAGAGGACTCCGGGAAGCAAGAAAAGCCCATTGTAATATATCAACCTGCCTTTTGGATAGCCCAAGGGTTACCACTTACGTTTTAAGCTTTTGCAAAACTCCATTAACGTGTTCCAGGTTTCTCTTTCTGGAAAAATACATGTTCAACTATTAATAGTACATTCTTGAACCAAATCTTTATGATTTTATCGGAGCCAATGCATCCTGGATTGAGGTACATATGGTAAAAGGTAAAGGACCCCTGGATGGTTAAGTCCAGTCAAAGGTGACTATGGGTTGCGGCACTCATCTTGCTTCAGGCCAAGAGAGTCAGTGTTTGTCCAGACAGCTTTCCAGGTCATGTGGCCCTCATGACTAAACTGCTCCTGGCACAACAGAACACCATGACAGAAGCCAGAGCGCACAGAAACGCTGTTTACTTTCCCGCCGCAGCAGTACCTATTTATCTACTTGCACTAGTGTGCTTTCAAACTGCTAGGTTGGCAGAAACTGGGACAGAGCAACGGGAACTCACCCTATTGTGTGGATTCAAACCACTGAACTTCCAATCGGCAAGGCCAAGAGGCTCAGTGGCTTAGACCACAGCGCCACCTGCGTCCCGTGAAAGTACATATACAGTGGTACCTCTACTTGCGTTCACCTCTGATTACATATCCTTTGGGATACGTACGCGGTAAACCCGGAAGTATTTTTCCAGGTTTCGCCGCACGCACGTGTGCAGAAGCGCTCTACGTGCCATGCGCAGAAGCGGCACCTCCGGTTGCGAATTCCTCAGGATGCAACCGGAGCTCTGGAACGGATCCCGTTTGCAACCGGAGGTACCACTGTGTTCTACTACTGAACACAATCTTTCCCACACAGACTTCTAACCTCTTTGTTCTTGGAGTACCGAATCATTTTAACTTTATTCAAATGGGACTAACTTTGAAGTACATTTGCATAGGACTCCAGCATGTTTTTTAGGTACCAGTTGCAACAAGGGTACTGTACACCCAGGCTATCATAAGTAGATAATGCATGAAAGGAATCAAGGATGGCTGAAGCATCTGCACCAAGAATTCAGAACCAGTATGGAACAGAGAGTACCAGCATGGCTACCTCCCAGCTGAAGAGCTCTTCAATATACAGGGCTTTATTTGGAACAGAAGCAGACGAACATACAGTATCACAACTCCACAAAGTTCATTTAGTTCATGGGTCATGGCCTGCATAGAACTTGGACAGGAAGTCCTTGGGTCGTGGCGATTCTGTCTCATGAAAATACCTCATTAAATGGGTCCGTTGTTTCCATACGTGAATAGTCTCTTGGAGTTCCATTTTCCCCTATATCAGACAGAAAAGGACGAAAGGTGTTTAAATTGGCCTGTTACTACAATAATTTATTATGCTAATACAGGGTAGGCACAACTATCAGGTTTCTATGAAGTTGGGATTTTTAAGAACCAAATGGACATGACAAGTGGACATGACATGACAGTGGAGGTTCGTTGTGAAACTGTTGCATATAGTGAGCTGTAGGCAAAGGTATTGTCCTTACGACATTGCTACTGACTCAAAATACTTTTAAAGATTGGGAGCAAGGCAGACACAGCAGATGGGGAGGTATTTTGAAAGGTTATGCCACTTCAGATTTAGATTTGGACACTGATTCCTTTGGTGTATAGTAAAACTATAGTCTCGTATGCTCCATGATGGTGGCACTACTGTACAGTAAAGAAGGCATAACTGGTCAGCACTCTGGGGCAAGCCAGTTGTGTCAGGAAGGACATAAGCAGGCTCTCTCCTAAACTTGGATAAGACCACAGGAATATGGATTGTTTCTGTGATGACACAGCGTTTGAAACCCCACGTTTAGAGACACACCTATTTGCAAGACACGGTTTAGCTTACATAAAGAAAAAGTCATGTATCATTTATGATGGAAAGAGGCATTCTCTTAAGTCTATTATGGGCTTTCACCCTCTTCTCCATTTCTACAGGGGTCTGAAAACTACTTTTGCTTTTTATCTCTATATACCAGACATCCTATGCTTGCTTTGAATTTAAGGCAAATGTTATTTAATTTACCTTAATAACGAGCATATCAATAACTCGAGGGTCTGTGGCATGGGCATTCTTCATGAACAACTCTCGCACCTTATCCCGGCCCTGTTTCACTGAGATGTCCAGCTGGTATAGATGCACTAGATGATAATCAAAAAATAATAATGGGTGAGAAAATGAGTGTTAGGTCTTAACTTAAAAAGTTACTTTTTACACATTTACTGCTTCCAATTGAACACAGTTCAACTAGTGGGCTGTTTTATTCCATTCCATGGAAAGCGAGCTCTAATTAAACAGAAGATCTAATAGGTGTTAACAACCCATTAAGTTACAGGAAAGAGAAAAGCCCACAGCTGTCATGAGCAAGGTCCTTCAAGCTTTCGTGACATGTAACTGTTACTCCCATCTTGTAGTGTGAACCAACACTATTCTCCATAAGAACCGCCCCATACATGCCACCAGGGTTGGCACCAGTGGCATACAGTCTGTGGAACAGTGGAACTAGCCTAATCCCCAAAGTTCCTGGTAAAATATTCACACACCTCCCTCCATGCTCCCTCCTCCTTCCTTCTCTTCCTCCAGCCCTCCTTGAACCTTACTCGCTTAGCCTCTTTCTACGTTTAGCTGCTCTACCGAAGCTGCTCAGAGGGTTGCACTCCTTGCACAGAGCTACACTCCTTGTAGTCCTTTGTCCTGGTTGGTGTCAGCACTTCCCTTCCTCCAGGTTGCCTATGCCAAACAGCGCCCAGCAGCAGCACAGCCCACAGCACGCAAAACATCCGATGTGATGCACGTGGGGCAGAGACCACTTCCCACCCTGAAGGTCAAAAACAGTGCCTTCTTTTTGTTGAGGCACCCAGCTGCTGTCTTCCCCAACCATGCAGAGGCCAGCCAGGGGACCCCAACCATCACCACTTAGGGGGTGAGGAGGAGAAAGGGCATGGAACAACCCTGATGTCACAAGCAGGTCTTTATAAAGGGGCTCTTTTTAAGAACTACATTTTTATGGTAGCTGATAGAGTGCAGGAGTAGCTGTTTAAAAAATAGTAATAATCAGGCAGCTTGAGTTTGAAGGGGGGAATTCAGCCATTACATAGCTGCCACAGCTGCATCCTTAGCAGCGGGTCTTGAGTAAACCTCACGTTTGTCCTCCTACCCTTACCTTGTCCCCTGGAGTGGGTGCACATTGGCGCCCTAATTCATGGGTAGGCAAACAAAGGCCCGGAGGCCTGATCCAGCCCAATCGCCTTCTAAATCCAGCCCGTGGACGGTCCGGGAATTAGCGTGTTTTTACATGAGTAGAATGTGTGCTTTTATTTAAAATGCATCTCTGGGTTATTTGTGGGGCATAGGAATTCGTTCATTATTATTTTTTTCAAATTACAGTCCGGGCCCCCCACAAGGTCTGAGGGACAGTGGACCGGCCCCCTGCTGAAAAAGTCTGCTGACCCCTGGCCTAATTGTTCCCCTGCCACAAATGTCACCGCACGCCACTGGTGGGCAGATATCCTGAATGGATCAAAGGCACACCATCTTCGTATCCTAACCGCCGCTAACGCTGAACCAACCCTTCTTTGGGTACTCGCAGTCGCCAGTGCAGATGGCATGATGCGCCGTAGGCTGGGATGGCGTGACCCGAAGTGTCAGAGAGGAGCGTGACACGAGTGGGAAAGGGGGGGGAAGCAGTCGAAGCAGGGAAGCGATCTGCCTTCCCGCCCTTGGTTTTAGTTCTGAGCAGGCCACTCTCTCGGCAGCGGCCTCAAAGGAAAGGGAGTTCGGGGAAGCGGGGAAATTTGGGGAGGGGGCGCAGCCCGCGACGACGCCCTCCCGCCCGTCCCCCTCGGGACGCGACCTTGAGGCGGAGGTCGCTCGCCTGCAGCCGCGCCTCCTCACCAGCGTTTGGTATTTCTCGGTACCAAGCCCTATACAGTTCTCGCACGCGCCGTTTGGCCTCCGCCAAGTCCCGGCTGAAGATCGGCTTGACAGCTGCCCTCGCAGCGGCCGCCGCTACCTTCCCGGCTCCGGGCGCCGCCATCTTGTTCGGCCTGATACGCCCCGCCTACCCATCCCCGCACGGATGTTTTCCGTACAGAGTTCGAGGGCGCTCGAGTGCCATTGGCTGAGAGCTGTGCTGTTTCTTCAAGGCTCGCCAGCCATTGGGCGGTGGGAGGTTGGACTGGCGAAGCCTTCCGGGTTTCGTCCTTGAGGATGGGGGTCGCGCGCTCTTTCTTCTTGGTTTCATTATCACCAATTGAATGAAATGTTTAAATAAAAGATAAAGAAAAAAGGTTTTTCAGAAGATGGTTCGAAATTCAAAAGAGCTCCATTATGAAATAATGAGAAATTAGTCTCAAAGATTTATACAAATTTTATAGAGTTGGCGACAAAAGATGAGATGATAAAAGCAACTATAACTCATTGGGCAATTGATATTGGCCACAATACATATAGAAATGAGAGTTTGGTAGAGATTATGTATAACGCTGTGGGTTAAACCACAGAGCCTAGGACTTGCTGATCAGAAGGTTGGCGGTTTGAATCCCCGTGACAGGGTGAGCTCCTGTTGCTCGGTCCCAGCTCCTGCCAACCTAGCAGTTCGAAAGCACGTCAAAGTGCAAGTAGATTAATAGGTACCGCTCTGGCGGGAAAGTAAACGGCGTTTCTGTGTGCTGCTCTGGTTTGTCAGAAGCGGCTTAGTCATGCTGGCCACATGACCCGGAAGCTGTACGCTGGCTCCCTTGGCCAATAAAGTGAGATGAGCGCCGCAACCCCAGAGTCGGCCACGACTGGACCTAATGGTCAGGGGTCCCTTTACCTTTACTATGTATAACAATGAACTTCTCTGCCTGCTACACACTAAAGGAAAATCTATAGATGATGTATAGATGGTATTTGACTCCAAGCAAACTCTTAAATATGTTTTTTAAAAGGATCCAAATTATGCTGGAAATGCCAAACGATAGAGGGCACCTTCTTTCACACATGGTGGTTGTGTAAGCAGGCCAAAAGTATGGGAAATTATTTACATAGAACTAAAATATTTAACGTGGCCAGCGTGACATCGCTGCTCTGGCGAGCCAGAGCTGCACACGGAAACGCCGTTTACCTTCCCGCTAGAAAGCGGTCCCTATTTATCTACTTGCACTCGGGGGTGCTTTCGAACTGCTAGGTTGGCAGGCACTGGGACTGAGCAGCGGGAGCGCACCCCGCCACGGGGATTCGAACCGCCTACCTTTCGATCGGCAA